CGAGGGCTCTAAAATCCTCATTGCTCTATAGTCGCCGACTCACTCCAACCCAATATGTATTCAGCCACTAGATTCTAGGATCAATGATAATGACAGTGGCAGTGTAGAACGTTAGAATAACGTTTTCTTAAGACTTTGTGTAAGCTGAGTATACGTTACATTCATTATTTTGGATGTGTTAAAAACATTTATTAACAAGAGACCCAATATCTATTAAATCAAACTTGTTTTTTTTTTTTATAAACTCAAATGGCATTAAATAGATTTTTTTATTAATGATAACAAATAGTGAGTTATTTTTTTAAAAGTAACTACAAAAAATTCAACCTTAAAGGTACACGCCATGGGTTTAGAAAATCACCCAAATGCCATCCATGCTATCCAGCGTCGTGGCTAATACTACGTAACGAATGTTCCCCAGAATAATTGTCAGAAAGTTTCATCTTGCCCAAGTACTTGGTGCAATAGGAATTTTTTTGTTGTTGTTGTTGTTGTTGACGGAAAATATATTGAGATTCCATGGCAGTTTGACATTTCTGATACAATATTTGAATCACAAATGGCAAAAAGTTAATTGAATGCTTCTTTTACTGTCCGAAGGGTGTATTTCCCCCTTTTTAATATTCGCTGACAAGCAAACTAAAGTCGCCCAAAAAATTAACTGCTCTAAATGTAATTGTTAATAATCGACAGCCACAAGTGAATAAGGAGCGGGGAGTGTTTTGTAGAGTAACTAAGTTGATTGATTATATATTGTTATTGTATTCTTTAGTGCTTGTTTTTATGTAAACGCTACTGACCATTTTAAATGGATTTTAGAGTTAAAATCGATTAATTTTATCATTATTACCCTATTACTATAGGCATGAACCTTTAACTTAAAAAAGGACGCACACCTCCCTGACATTAATCAGGAGCGGATCCAGAGATATTTTCTGACAATATTCCAAATTATCTTTGTTGATCCATCCGCCATTTTCGATGGTATTCCAACAGAAAAAAATAGATACCGTCAAGTCAATGTAAACTTAAAAATTTGACCGTCTTCCGGAAGATCCAGAAGACGGTCTCAATCCGCCCCTGACAGGAGCGGATCCAGAGATATTTTCTGACAGTATTCCAAATTATCTTTGTTGATCCATCCGCCATTTTTAATGGTCTTCCAACAGAAAAAATAGATACCCGTTAATGTAAACTTTAAAATCTGACCGTCTTCCGGAAGACCCAGAAGACGGTCTCAATCTGCCCCTGAATTAAAAAAAAAACTCTCTTAGTTTGTTTTCCTTTAATCCGCTCAGACAGTGCGGAAATTGACATTTTCATTAATAAGATTATGCTGTCACATCAAAAAGCACTTCGGTTTCGGGGTGAATTTCCTTACTCGAGGAAAATAGCGACCTACCAAAATGGGCCAATTCTATGAAACATTCTCAACAAATATGTCATTCTATCTGCAAGAGATGTTTTCAGGAATACTGCAGGCATCATCGTGGAAATGCACTTGCACATAGCTCTCGTCTACTGAGTAATTTGTTGCAGAAACCCAATGTTCAGAGGATGGAGCAATCATCTTTTAGTCCTGTTATTAACCCTACTAAGCATCTGTGGCATGAATTGGAGTGTGCACTGCAAAGGAGAACCAAACTCCTAATAATCTGGACCAACTCCCCCAAGCTCTTTAGGAAACATGGGGCAATATCCCACAAAACAGAATTGTAACCCTTGTTGAAGGCAGGCCGCGTCGCCTACAGGAGATAATTACAGTAGGGGAGACCGGGGCTAGTTGGAACCCGGGATAAATTAGCCCCCATCAAGTATCTTTAATAAAATTATTTCATTTGGACTCATTGCCGACGCTTTTTTAGCACTATTGGTTACGGTCACTTTACAAAATGATGTGATCAATTCTTTTACCCCATAGTTACTTTGTCATAAATTGATGGGGGGGGGGGGGCAAACTTACCCAGATCTCCCCTATGCGGTGGACACAAACGGTATTGGACACGTGATCTTTAACGAGCACACCCTAATGCTAAATGTGTGTAAAATTTGGTGGTGTCTATTCAATTTTATCGATATTCATTTACCTCTGTGAAAATCACAGTGAAATGTTGGATTTGAGGGAGCACATGTAATAAATGTGAATAAATGGTATTAAATATTAATATCTTCACTGTTAGTTAGTATTCTCTGTACCATTAATCATGTTAGTTATAGTATCTGGAATGAAAACAACTATTTATAACAATTTTCACCAGTAATGTGATCATTTATAAATGAAAGCACATGATACTGGAGGTTAAACAACCTTTTTGACCAATGTTGTATAATTAAATCCGTGCAAAAATACTACATCAGACCCATAAATCTTCCAAATATAAGAATATTGAAACAAACATTTAACGAAGAGAAACTCATGAAGATAGATATTTGGATTAAAGCGGTGGCGACATTTAGACAGAATTGGGGAATTCAACATTGGGATGAAACATCTGACCTAGAAAAAGAAATAAACCTAAAAATTGAAGGTCTCTTTTGGGAAGATTTGTGCAAGGAAAACTACAATAACCTGCTCACTTATTTAAAAATACTAAAAATACTCATACGATTTTGAAAAACACTCAAAAATTAGTGCCACAAGCTCAGACAACAAATACAATGCCAAAATGAGAATAAGTGACCATGAGGTGGCGATAGAGAAAGGCAGCTACATGAAAATCCCTCTGGAGGAAAGAACCTGCACACATTGTAAAACAGAAATAGAGGACGAGAAACATTTCTTCCTCACTTGCAGCAAGTACCAAACAGAGCGACAAAGCATGCTCAATTCCCTCCCAAATACAGAGAGACACAATTATGAATTAGCAGGGAGTGATCAGAAACTATTTATCCTCCTCAACATTATAAATCACCTCAGGCAATATTGCAATATATTCAGTTAACAGCACAATGAATAAGCACCCATCGCATTAATGAAATTTTAGCAAATTATTTCGCAGTTACTGATGCTTTGATAGATATTTTATCCTTTATTTTACCCTGTATTTATTTATATTTTTGATGCAAGCATAATAGAGTAGTGTTAGAAGTAGCCTAGACAGCGAACAATGTTAATTTGTAACACTTAAAGCTGAGTAAATTATTAAAAGTTAAACACTGTTTTTACAGTGTATGAATATGGTACATTCGGTTAAAGCAAGGATAATCAGTCACGGGAATTGATTTGTAATGATATAAAAAATTAATCAAAGATTAAGTAATAAAAATAGAATATTAGAAAATACTCCCTCGATCCCATAGCTCAGAAGCGTTCCCATGAGCATACTGATAATCAATTTATTAGCGCGGCACTAATTAAGCGTGGAAGCGTCTTCTTTCTTAACAAATCGCTTAAAATACAAAAGTACGAAAGGTCCCTCAGATGTGAAACAATTGTTGCAGTCAGTTTAAATTATGACAAAGGTGTCAAAGCGAGGGGATCGAAGACAGCGGAGAATTTATGGGGATAATTGCGCATGCTCCATTTTGCCGATTTACTTTCACCACGAGTTTTACTTCTGAACCCACTGCTAATTTTAAAGTTAAAACTTTTTACCAACCTCACCATTCTTTGTATTACATTCTCAGTATTGACCTTTAATTCAGAAAGATCTCAATTGTCAAATGTCATTCATTTGTGGGAACGAATTATCGAACCGTGCGCCCATATTTGTGGCCTAGTCGAAAAAACGATTTCTCAAATTATGAGGACGATGTCTTAAACGGATCAAAATATTTGTTAGATATGACTTTTTCGACAACCCCTCTCTCTCTCTCTCTCTCTCTCTCTCTCTCTCTCTCTCTCTCACACACACTCTTTTTATCTCTCTCTCTCTCTCTCTCTCTCTCTTCAAAATTAATACTTGTCCTTGTGAATAAATAGTAATAATAAAAAAGACCCCCCCTTTCTTTAAATTGCTGGCTCCAGACGTGGTCTTTAGTTATAAATTGATCTAATATATTGCCATGCGAACCGTGATGTCTGCAGACAGGTTTACAGTCAATATATTTCTAAGGACCACCATGAAGTCTCATGGCAAATACGATTTTTGCCATAGGTCAGTACATTGTCTCGTCTGGCGCATGCGTATAGCGGCTGCTATTTGACATCAATGACATTATACCAAGCTCTATTTAGACGCTTTCTATCCATGTGTCCATCATAATTGCTACGTGGCAAGCGATGGGGGTAGATGATGCCAGTGGAGCGTTCGTTCTAATCTGGCGGGAGTGGAACTGAGGAACTTGGCAGAGCGGAGGCTCACCTGGCAACCGTAAACATTCGGCGGAGATACCGTGAAATTAATTTGTATGAAGTTTTACTTACTGGCTCAAATAATGGAGACAATCGCCGCGGTCTGTTTGCTTCTACAAAATACTATAATATTGGGGTTTCGACTCTTAAGCAAACAGGACGGCAATAAAGTTATGATAGGCCTCAAATCGAGAGCTGAGTAACTCTATCCGATTGTGGTTAACGACCCTCGCACTGTTTGTGTTAAGCTGGTGTCAGTATTAAAGAAATTATTGCCTCTTAATTTTTGCAAAACAGGCAGAAGACTAATATCGGAAAATCTTAAAGCGCCACGCAAAGAAAGAATACACTGCGGCGAAGACCAAATGACAAGTTGTTGAAATTTTAAGTAAACTCTACACAGTTAGTAATATCATGCTTTGTGAGAGAGAAATGAGAGGAACAACGAGGTAAAATGAAATTATTGAAAAAGTCAGAAAATGGCTGCACACGATGGTCCAGAGTCCTGACTAATTGTTTTTCATCATAATGCAGCTGGCAGCAATTGGACAGCGCTTCGACCAGAGATGGAAACTGTTCTGGAAAAGAAACCAGCAAATTTTCCAATTTAACTCTAATTGTTGAACGGTGTTAGAGAAAATTGCTTCAACAGCACGAAAAAGAAAACACTAACTTTATGACATTAATGACAATAATCTAAATAGAAATGGAAAACAAAACTGATGACATAAATGGAATGGGAGAAAATGATACATATTTTTGTCGCGGGGAAGTTAAATTTATTCAGTCCCATATTGTAGTCATCGGTTTGCCATTGATTTATTCTATAATATTCGTCATAGGAGTGATAGGCAACGGCTTGGTGATTTCGGTGATCTGCAAGTCGACACGACTGAACGTTTTATTCTTAAATCTTGCCATTGCCGATTTGCTTTACTTGATCATTTGTCTCCCAGTACAAGCGTTACGCTTCGCAACAGAATACCGAGTCTCCTTAACGCCGCCGGTGTGTAAAATTGCATACTTTTTCGTGTACACCACTCAAGGGGTTAGTGTATATTGTTTAGTTTTTATATGCGCGCTACGGTTCGTGGCTGTTAAATGGCCCCTGCATTGCAAAAACTTTGTCAGCAAGAGCTTCACGACGAAGGTTGCAGCTCTAGTATGGGTTGGAATGATAATAGCAAATTTTCCACTTTTCTTTTATTTCGAGGAAAGCAAAGGGAAATCTTGTGGTCTGTCACAGAACATGACAGATGCTGATGGATATTTCTACTACGTGTTAGTATTTGGCCTGGATTTCATCTTCCCCGTTTTGGTAATCGGTGCTTTCTCTATTGGAATCATGGTGGTTATCCGCCAACAGGAACGCGCTATCGCAGCTGCCCTTGGCTCAGAAGATTCAGCGCCTGCCGGAATGTCCCCTTCGGATACCCGACGACTAACAGCAATCGTTTTCGCCGTCTTAGTGCTCTTCGTTGTATGCTGGGGAGATTTTTACCTCTTCTATATCTTATTCATAGCACAGGTATATAATCCTGTGTGTCCGACAGGGGCTTGGTTCTGGCTTCATTTTTTGTCTCAGGTGCTACCGGTCACAAATTCATGTTTAAATCCAATTCTGTATAATTTTGTTTCCACAGAATTCAGGGCTGCGTTCAAACGGCGGTTTTCTGGACCAACGAACCAAAGCACTGCAAGAACCTCGACTTCCTTTTTGTGAACTGAAACCAATTTAACAGATTGAAAAGATCAATTAATCGAATGAACATAGCAGAGTTTGTCGCATATAATTTAAAACAGATACTTTCCTTGGAATGGTGTGTTTACTAGCATTGGAACTAAAAACTAAATTTGAAAACTTAAAAATCTTTTTTCATCATTTATGTTCATACAATATGTTGTCTCTTCGAGAAAATGAGGAACTGAGCAGAAACAGAACAGAAATATTTTATTATTTATTTGTGTTTTAGTGGTGATTCATGTAATTAGTAATGTACTTCTTAACAGAAAGGTTATATAAAATCTTTAAAAAATTCTTTTTACAATTAAAAATATCTAGAAATGTTGAAAATGTCTTATCAGGTGCAGTGAAAGTAAATTCACAGCAAGCAATTTTTGTTATTTTCCAGTACTTTCAGTAATAGATATCTTACGTTACAAACAATAGTTAAATGGCACTTTGACGTTGAGTGATCAAAGGCCTAGAAATTAGGCTATGGTGACTTTGGTGCTTATCAAAATCTTCTACCAATGTTAATATGATTATCTGTCTAATTGTTTGTTATGTATTTCATATTTTGAATTTATGAAATAGATGTGAGTGCAGTGCAAGCAGGAAAGTTGTCTAGCTAAGTTCTTTGCGCGTTTTTAATATCTTATAAGAGCAAAAATAAATGCACAATGTAACTGTGTTGGATAAAAAAAAGGCTTGTCTTGGCTCGTCTTGACCACCTGACTGAGAGCACGGGAAAGTTCAGGTGGCACGTGTAAGACAGACCGATCTTCAAGTTTGCGAAACAACATCTTTAAACGGTATTGGTACTTGATAAAACACAATTATTCAATACTTAGATCCTTTATACTGTAGCAAATGACGACACAAATATTCAGTGGAGGAACACATTTATTTACACGCGTGTCTAGAGACTAGATGACGACGGTGAGCTGAAAGTGAAACAAATGAAACAAAAGAAAGTAAAAGAATAAACATCAATATCAAAATTTCAACTTAATACAAATAATATAATGAAGACTTTACAATGAAACGCATACTTTAAATAACTAAAAAGTACGTACATAACAATTTTGCCTCCACGTATTTGCTTAATGTAGCCTACGATAACGGGCGTGTCCAAACCATGACAAAAGGCTATCTCCTACATGGTGACGTTTATCATTCAACTGAACACTAATCATCCACGAGACATAAGAGAGCGCCTCTCGCTCCAAGACGAGACAACACAAAGTAAACAGATCAAGACAAACAAAAACAAACAAACAAAAATAAATTGCCGACGACACTGTCAGTATTATGAGTAACAGTATCATAAGTCTTTAACGACGTTTATGGACGGTCACATGAATGGGGATTTCGAGCCGAATCCAACGCCCAGAAAAACAGAATGCATAGCTGCTGAAGAAGTTAAGACAACATTATACTGTGTTATAAAGGGGAACTATCGTGATATGTTTTCACTGCACAAGGCTAATGTTATATATTACTAAATCAGGGGCGAATCCAGGATTATTTGAAGGGGGGGGGGGTCCGCGAATGCAAAGTCTCCGTTGTTTAATTTTTATTTATTTATTCATTTATTTTTGGGTGGAGGGGGGATTCTGTTTCCTGCCAAGTCACATGTTCCTTGTGGTGCTGCGATTTTTTTCAATATTTAGATTTGCTGTTCTTGAAGTTAATCCAAATCCATCGTAATTTATTGCTCTAGCAATCTAGATTTTACAGCTTTGAATCTTCAAACAGATAAGATGGAAATGCTTGAATTTCCATGAAGCAGCTAGCGTGATTTTTTTTTTTTTTTTTTTTTCTGGATAAACATTTTCATTCAATTTAGCAGTCGCAGTTAATGGACACAAAGCATATATATATAGTTAATGCCTTTTAGCAGAGCTATTGATAAAAGTCTATCAGAATTTCAGTTTTTCTTTTATGAAACAATCTGGCAGTTTCATTTATAAAACATATATCCTCACTCTTCGCTTAAGAATAACATTAATCTTGATTTTAGGTTATCTTTTTTCTGTGATTTGGTTAAATGGCATTTCAGTGTTGATCAACAGACCCGAGTTCAGAGAGCTGGAATTCACCAATAAGTTAATGGTCTATTTCTAGACATTGCACCACAAGTTTTAAATAATTACATCAAAGACACAAAATAGTTCACGAGATATTTTGCTGACCCACGTGTGTGTTCAAGTACGAGACCAACCGATGTGCTAGAGGTCAAAATTGATGGAGATCTGTCGGGTTGGAGGACAAACTCATCTTGTTTGTCAAGGGCACATTATATTACAGTGTCATGTTTCTAATAATGGGGATATAATATCTTTATTCTAAGGCTCAGCATACATGGTTATCGCTTGCATCTCATTATCAGTAGTTTATTGATTTTAACCTTTATTTTGCATGGAATCATTTAAAACAAAAAGACATACACACAATGTAAAAATTCAAAATTATGTGATGGGGTTCAAGGATTAATAAGCTAAGCCCAACTTGCTTGCAAATGTATTTCATCAAATATTTATCGTATCTTATTAGCCATCGTTACGAGGCTATTTACGAAACAATAAGCTCAAATGTAACACCTACATTATTTGGGAATTGTTTCGGAATTGTTTTGATATATGTGCACTGGTAAACAGTGTTTTAAGCAAATAAAAAATTCGACCTGCTTGCCATGACAGAATTCCACAGCTCTACCGTGACCAGGATTCGAACCTGGGTTGTCTCGGCCACAACGAGAAGTACTAACCACTATACGATCACGGCCCGCACTGCAAGTGATAAACCGTCTGAGAGCACGTGCAACTTGACTTTGATGAGAAGTTATTATGATTCTAAATACCAGATTTTAGCAAAATAACACCCGGAATGAAGGTCGAGACGCACAATGTACGCCACATTTTAACTAGCCTCACTATTTTGGCCAGAGTTTGTAAAATGCAGGACTATCATAATTTAGTGAAAAGTAGCAGCAACAGAAAAAAGAGAGAGGGGCGTTTTTTGTTTTATTTCTCGTAAATGTTGGGTTTCTGGTCGAATTTAAATGTGAAATTAAAGTTGTTCATCATAACGAGCTATGAAATTTCACATGTTAGTGTGTACACTAAGTATATGTGTGTTTGAATGGGGGTGTGCTTGTTTGCAATTGTTTGTGTGTCTGTGGGTGTGTGTGTGTATGTGTGTGTGGTATATATTGTTCAATCTATTAAGGCAAAGTAATCAGCAAAAATAGATTTTAATAAGCGACATATAATGAGTCCTTCACATTAAAAAAAATTGAATTTGATTTTTTTATTATGGGGCTTATACGTGTAGATCTACTTGTTTATAATCTAAAATTCAGGACAATCTGATCCCCGTGCATCTTGGGACCAAGATTTCGCATCTAAAATCGATAACCCTCAAACAGGCGTAGACCCGAGAGTGAAGATATTGATGTTCAATCAGGGTGTTCTGCAATCCACAATAATTCACACAGCTGGCTGCTCTCTTCATTGAGTTGATTGATATTGATGTTCAATCAGTGTGTTCTGCAATTCACAATAATTCACGCAGCTGGCTGCTCTTTTCACCGAGTTGATTGATTGCCGCTGAGTAGTTATCTTTTCGACCCAGAGCTACGGTTCTTTATGTCTTGCAAAGGCCCGGTCCCACTGGCGTTTAGGATGAAATGCGCATGAATTTCGCACAAAATTGGTTGATATTCGCTAAACCTCCGCAATATTCGTGATAAATGCTTGTACATGTATCAGTCGGCTAATACCTGCATACGTCCGCAATTATCCGCTGAGGCAATTTTTCCGTTCCCGGGGGTTTTGAGCTGCATAATATTTGGGTTTCGGACGTCATGCGCAATACATCCGCAATTCATATGCAATACATGCGCTGTTATCGGCTCTTATCCGCAACTCACGGGTAATTGCGGGTTGCTAGCGATCTGGAAGAGTATGTATGAAGTATGCAATCCGTTATGTTGAGCTTCCCCATCACGAGCTAAAGCGTTTGTGTTGCGTCCGATTTGTAAACAATAAGCGATGGATTACGACCGCTTAACGTACACCAAAACTGGTGTATAAATCGGGCAGAAAGCGAAATCGTTGTCAGTCTAAGTCCAGCATGGAACCCCAAAGACGCCGTCTGATTGTTGCTGCAATCCAACAACATAACTATCAACTTGTCCAAATCCAACAATTGATCCAGAGGCGGAGAAGTAGGCGGAGAAGACGACCATGAGCTGTCGGGGCGAGACCAGGGGCTCCACAACTCGAAATCATTGCAAATTGCGACAGAGCGCAAGCATGGCGATTCGTCGCTATTGCGTAATTCGAAAGCATCGCAATTTGCCACTGAGCGCTAATAGCAATATCACCGTTAGTTTCGAGGCTATTATTTGCGACGAGAGTAATTCAGTAATAAAGTAAATTTTCTGATAAAAAAATTTGTGTTGTCTTTCGACGATAATCATAGGTTTAAACGTTTCATTTTCTACACTAAATGAAAAAGCAGAAACAAAGCATTCGGCCACACAGCCACCTTCCTCAGCGTGTGTTATTATGAGACTAAACACTACTCACCAATATCAGTAATTGTATTAGTCCAAAATAGCACGCGTGCTTCGCTTATTGAATTGTTTCTGAGATTTTATTGGTGTCAAACACTTCAAATATCAGTATTTGTAATTGTGATATTCCTATAAATTACTGGAAGTCTGGAGCACGGGGAAGGGGCCAAAACCTTGCCAACACTGTAGAAGTCGGCACCCAACAGAGCTTCCATAGAAGACAAGATGCAACGCAACCCCAACAAACATTGGCGCAATTTACCTGCTGGTTCCGTTGCTTGGCAAGACAGAATGACAGAGTGTCAAGACAGAGATCCAAATCCTCAACAAGCACTGGTTGTTGAATTCACCATCTTCTGGATCAGTTAACTGGCAAGATGGAATACTAGACTATGTACAGTGTATAATGAATGTATACATTGTAATAAATGTTTGGGTGATGTGACATTGTGTACTTGGATTGAATTGATTTTAAGAGAAAATGTTGAAACCGAGATAGGCCTTAAACCCAAGTTTTTATCCCCAGGCCATTAAACGGCACTTCCATATGACATTCACTTACATTTTAATCGGGCTAAAAATCGCGTTATAAATTATCATGCTTCTACATCAGTCAAAGGTGTACAAGGACGTGAGTTCAGTGAAATGCGACTGCCCTGATTATTAGACCGCCACGTTGCCATACTTTTGCGCAACCGATCATTTGGCACCAAGTTCTGACTGGACAAAGGAATGGTTGTAACAGGCGACAGTCTACTCCCGCTGAGCCACTGTGTTATTGCTGCTCTGTCGTATGTATAACCGTCACTTGCAATAACGGGGTCTTTCATAAGACTGCCTGTAATTGGACACAAAAACTGACTAGGGATGTCACCAGGACTTCCAGAGGCTCCACCATGTTGAAATGCGTGATTTTCCCATGAACCAGAATGGCTATTTCTTTCATCCTTGTCTTCAGAGACGGTTACATTACGCGAATGATCGGTGGAATATGGAAAAATTTGTAGCAGCTGGAGGTATCTGAGCATAGAAGTCATCGTAGTTAGCAGACTCCGGTCGAGGTTTGCCATCCCGGTGGTAAGTGGCGTAATGTCCTTGACCTTGACCTGAATTATGAAGACGGGCATAACCGTCATCCAGGCCTGTGTACATATGGTCGCCAGTGGAGGTTAAAGTTAGACTGTTATATGTAGGTGAGGCTTGGGGCATCACTTCCTGCGGGGCTACCGATAGTTGACTAGCCGTGCTGGACGCTGACGATGGCCTAACTTCATTGTCGCGTAGATTAAGCAGACTGCTGAACCTACCACTTAGAAATTGGAAATGAACTGGAGTGAGTGAGATGGTAATACCCATACTGTGATAATTACGAACTATTTGTAAAAAACATGGATACCCTTTATAACTGCACACTATTTATATAAATTGTATGCCTACTCAACTTTCTTCTGCACGCACAAATATGTTCGAAGTAAAATAACATATCAGTGATCTAATATTCAAATTATTGACGCCTTTCCTGTGCAATACATACTTATTGTTTGCAGCTTTCTTTTTGTACAAAAAGAACCACAGCCCGACTACTATGGTTCCTGCCACTGCCAGCACAACCACCGGTACCACTACAGCAACTACCAGCTTGCCACTCTCAGAACCTTCAGTTACCAAAAAACACATTAAACACATTACGTGACTATCATCGTTTCAACGACAATTGAAAGTGGATAGCTCATGGTTAATTTAGATTGACAGACAGAAATTACTTATAATCTTACTTATAATTACTAATAATCAAACAATTCACTTGTAATTATTTATAATCAAACAATTACAATCTTTTGGTTAAATTAATGGTGCTCTTATTTTTTTTAACAAACTATCATGCCAAAACGTGTCGATCTACATGTGGGGCAAACTTTCTAAAGACGGTGTAGATGAAAAAGCACAGTTTTGTGATAATAACATCCATGAGGCAACGACGGCAGCTGAACCTACCTTCTTTTTCACCTGGTGATGTTGTTGTGGGTGGAAAAGTTGCGGTAGTGGTGCCTGAAAAAAGTTTTATTGGAAAGTTTGTGAAGAACTGGCAGGTGGATACAAGTGTGTGTGTGTGTGTGTATGTGTGTTTGTGTGTGTGTGTGGCTTTTTTTAAATTTATGAATAACCAACTGAAATTGCAGAAGCCACCCGCTGGCTTGCCCTGTGACATATCAAATTTAATAAAGTAAGGTGTGGTACTACCTAAAGGCTGGAATATCCATGCGGGAAATGAGTGAATTTCGTGATATCTATCACATGGTAGCTTGTGTTTTGTTTGACATTGTGTATTAACAGAACGCAATAGTTAAGAGAAAAAATAGTTGAAAGTTTTTAAAGCTATACAATTAAAATGTCCTACTATTCTCCTTATCTGTAATTTAGATTTAAAATTTGCCATGTTGCTTGTAGAAATACATGTATATCTGCTTTACATTTATGAGCCACTTTTCCAGATCTACAGTGGGTACCAAAGAGAAGGTATTAAGTGAAAGCTAGTGTCAAGCGCAGATGAGACCAATCATGAATGCAGATAAAAATAACAGTGAGGTGTTTCATTAGTTTCAAACTATTAAAATTCTTTTAAAAAGTATCATGTGGCACAAGTAAACAGATTTCATTATTGGTATAAAGAAGGGACAAATGAAATTGCTGCCTCTCTTCGCTGAGGTAATCTAGGTGCTTTTATAAACTCGACTGGTGTCACCCGGCTTTAATTTGGCGTAACTGTGGTCAAAGCGAGAGGTACGTTTGAATTAAAATTTAGACAACTGTATACTCAAAAACGTACAGAAGAATAAAAGCTAAATTTTCAACTAATTTAAAAAGCAAGCGAGTAAGCAGCAAAGCAAGATACCGACTGAAATATAAACTGATAATTACGGCTAGAAACACTGAACGTATTTGATAAAGTGGACGCCGGTGTACTTGGCGCTGAAAGTGAATAAAAAAGAAAACACAAATTGCTGGAATCTGCTGCAAAAAGGAAGGATACTCTGATAGCAACTAAGCATATACATTGTTATAAAATTGTTAATATCTAACCTGACAGGGTTTCCTTGAACTAGTACATGGAGATTATCCAATACAATCAATGTTAACAAAACATTATATTAGCAGTGCCATTCACGATAGTAAATTATAATGGTAAATATATAACAACTATTAATCATCTGCTAGTTTTTAAATTTTATCAACCAATGGAAAATAAAAAAGAAATGAAACAGTCACAAAAATAAATACCTCATTTAAAATACTTCCAAGGGGTCATTCCCAATGAAACTATCGTTCTACGTAGATCAATCAAACTCCACAGGGACTCTCGCTGAGTGCAATCAGATGCACAGATTAACACGCCCTTTCTTGGCCTTGAGTGGGATACTGAAAAGCCGGTGATTACACGGGTACATTGGAAACAAGAGGAGGTGTGTTAATATGATGGCATTCATCGAGTCCCCGCGGAGTTGGATCGAGCTACGTGGACCGATTGTTTCATTGGTAATGAGCCCTTATAGGATAAAGCATTACTTCATCCTCATGAACTTACGTAGAACAGCTGTATACTCCAACCGGAATCCTACTTCACCCGTTGAGGCATCACTCTTAAACTCCACTAATGCAACATTAGCGTCAAGATGGATGCGACCTTGTATCAAGTAATATATAAATATTTCAATTTAAATGTATTTTTACTAACACGTTTGCAAGTGATTGTGTAAAACAGCAGAAGTTATTTTATAAAAACGGTCAAGTTAACAAATCACAGCTAATATATGCGGTCAAACGATGCTTTTGAAATAAGGCATGAACATTTTGTAGTTAGAAAGTTTTAGCTCAAATGGTGTACTGGTTCCAATGTCTAAAATAGGGATATAATGAAAAATTATGATCTCCCACAAACATAGAGGGGCAAAGATCTTGAACAAGAACAAATCTACCAAAAATACTGAAATGCTGTTATTTAAATTGCATTCACTGTTGGCCACAATAAATGTTAGAGAAGAGGCAGGCTTCAGCGATGAGACTTTGAATTTCACATTAAATATTAATATTATAAATCTGAATGTTTTTATGAATCCGGACACAATGTTTGCGAATTTTTTTAATATGACCTAAATGGAAATACTGGCCCACACTGATTGGAAATAAAGGTATGAACTGGCCGGATGTACATGTGGATGCTGTGGCGGATAAGAAGATACTATAGGGGACTTTCATTTTTGTGTTACATGCCATATTCCTGACGCATAAATCACTTTTACGCAAATTACATCTTTTAAAATGTTAAAACAATATGAAAAAAACAAGAAAAATGAAGCACAAATATACTTAAAATGAAGGTAGTGTAAGAGACAAAACAAAACTTACTATTAGGCAGAGGCCCAGAGAGGGTTTCGATAAGGGTAGCTAAATTCTCCACTTCTGTGAACAACTTAACAGTATCATATGATGCTTCAGTCTTCGAACCGTCTTTGAAAAATCAATAGAAATTGTACTGTTACTCTGAAATCTGTCCACCCCTACAAGCATTACAGTTTTCATTCAATCGCCACCTTAAACAACAAATCATCATATAACCCTAAACACAAAATTCCAAAAGAAACAAAAATAAAGCAACAAATAAATAAATAAATAATGATGAGAACTATTACCGACTATTGCAGACTAATTGTTGTACAATGATAACAATAATTATAGTAACGACGAACATCATACTTTTTTATACATGGAAAAATAAACGTATAAATGAATATATGTAAATTTATTAACAAAAGGACAAAATATGATAGACACTTGTATAGTTATCAAGCGAAAAGCAATAGTAAACACTTACCTTTAAACTGCACATTAATAGTATATCCCACGGGCACAACAATGGCCCAGATACAGGCCACATTGTTGTTATAAAACAGGTTTGGGTAAAGCGGCGTCTGCAGCCAGCCCGAGTTGCCGTCCCCGCTTGACGTACTGGCACCAGCCCCGCAACCTGAAAAAAAAGCAAGGTCATTCTTGGCAGCCAATTGAAAACTGTCTCAAAAAATAAAAGCCCCATGTTATACCATGAATGAATGTGTATAAAATTTGCTACAGGATAATTCTCTCAACAGCCAAAACACGTTTTAGTTCATCTGGTTTAGGGATGCCAATTGGTGCCAATTAGGTAACTGAGGCTCATTGGTATCAGGAGTCAGTTTTGGTCAGGAGGCAGTTTTTGTTTGGTAGCAGTTTCAAATCAGCAGCTTTCATCATGTAAACGGTCACTTATTAATACCCTGTTGCTTAAAAGACCGTATCTAATATATGGGGTTGTTGGGTTGGGAACGATATCATCCGTAATATTAAACAAAGATAAGATAAAGCAATAATGTATAATCATTATGCAGCCTAAGGGTTGTTCTAGAGAATAGGGTAAAGTTAAATTGTGTCAAGGGTCACATAAGGTCAAATTTGAGGTATTTTCTTCAAAAAATAAACCAATAAAGTTTTTTCATATTGAGAATGTAAGTCAAGAATGTTATTGATGGATTATGATAATTTCTGTCTATATTCAAAGGGTTTGATGAAACACTGAATCCTGACATAATGAACCTTCACGCGATATCAACTCAGGTGTTCAAAGATCACCCAATTGGTACCTACGCTCAAAATATTAGGGGTGAGCCTGATGGCCTATATATTATATATGTCTGGAGAGCATTTGTGTTCTTTTTGAACGATCCATTTGGGATAGCGTAGTTGGTCATACTCACCGCCTGACACTCCTAGTGTCGAGGTACCTTTCTCCGGGGACAGGGGCTGCCTGTAGCATATAATGCCTTTGTATGAGGCACAATGGTCTACCATTCGAATCCAGCCGTGGTGGGGACACTGGCTCAAGCGAGTTTCATTGCCTGCAATTTGCGACCATGAGTTATGTTATTTTATGTTATTTAAGACGGAACAGTTATAACAGATGCTTCATTATCGTGACGTAGGGAACGTTTATTTGAAGGACGTCACGGGGACATACATGTAGCTTGAGATAATGCGTACGCCAAGACATACTTTATTTCAAAGGTAAAAGCATCAATTGTTGTACCCGTGCAAATTGCCTTGGTGACGAATGTATCAGCAGAGGGTATCACAGGGAAATAGTGGAAGCCGAGAAACTTTGTATAACCCCTTTCTTTGCAGACGACATCCGCCATTCTCTCGGTGAACTTCTGTGTGCAGGCGGTGTACCATCGTCCCTGTTCAAAAACTTCCAACAGCCCTTCATAGCCGTCTGCTCTCTGTCCGTCGTTCAGGCGAGTGCTATTTGGAAAATGGCGACCTGGAAAGCATTGACAGGTCTCAGCAGGAATAAATGACGCTAGTAGTGAGATTAAGGAAAACAAAAACGAAATGCAGTATACTGCCATGAACGCACGATGTGTCCAGACTAGGCTATCAATGAAAGACGTATATATTGCCTATATAGTGTGCAATCGACGTAAAATGCATGAACACAACGCTAAACGGAACGCGCCGTACGTCAACGTCCAGTTTACAATTAAGACTCCTGATTACATTTTAGAAAAATGAATGGTTCAGAGGGCCTGCGTATGCTGCCTTTTTGGGAGAGAGGCGCAGGGTAGTTTTATCACATTTTATTTATCTATTTTATTTTCCCCATTAACTCCACAAAAAGTTTAACATGTGGGACGGTGTGAAAGTTACCTTCACAAACAATTCCGACATGGGGACAGGATAATGGCGGTGTTGGGCCCAGGGATGGACTGCAGCCAAGTATACTGTCCTCGGAACCAGTACAACGTAGCTGAAAACCCAAGTGCAGAAAAGGCTTAATACAACCATCATCCAAATTTTGCGTGCTTTAGAGTTTTTTGAAAAAAAAATCACAACAAAGTAGTGAAAAATTTTACCAAAACTTTTTTGAAACGACCTTAATGAAGTATATATTGCAGAACAAAATGGCACATTTTATAACTTACCTCTTGGAGATGAACAATCGCTGCACCCTGTCCAAACTCTGTGGTCAGTTCTTTAGACGCGAAAACGAACCCTAACTGAGAGCAGGCAACTTTGGCGTTTGTCGCCTTGTGATTTGTCCAGATGCTGCGGCACATCTAAAATAAGATACAATTACATGTTCATCACATTGTATTATACATTATGTACCAAGTACGGGATTACCAATTAAGAACAGATAAATGACACTGTGTCAACAAAGG